CACCGTTCCAGGTGGTCAATCGAGCACTGAGCTTGCAGGGCAAAATGGCGCAGTCAATATTGCACCGGCGCCACTCGGTTACGAGGAGTAGTTACGCTCAATGAACCAATTAGCGCGCTTTTACGAAACCTCCAAATTTAGGTATTAAGTACGATATATAAAGTTTTGCGATACGTCGGATCGGAGTCGGAAGGTGCTCGGCTGGTCGGAGTCGTTATGATATGGAAGTCGCAAAGGGCTTCATGTGCGTGGGAGAGATACCGTGTAAAATTTACTGCAATCCAAGGTGCCTTACTTTTAATCATATTTTTGTCGTTATATGTCAGCTGCAAGTGCATGGTAACGCCGCTTCGATTTGCTTACTCGTTCTTAACCATGTGCTCAATCAGGTCCAGCACACGCGAGCTGTATCCCCACTCATTGTCATACCACGACACAAGCTTCACGAAGTCATCTGTCAGGGCAATACCGGCCTCGGCATCAAAGATCGACGAGTGCGAGTCGCCGATAAAGTCGCTCGACACCACAGCCTTCTCTGTGTAGCCGAGAATGCCCTTCATCTCGTTCTCACTGGCCGACTTAATGGCAGCCTTAATCTCGTCGTACGAAGCAGGGTTCACCAGACGAGCCGTCAGGTCCACCACAGACACATCAGCAGTCGGCACACGGAACGACATGCCCGTCAGCTTACCGTTCAGGCTCGGGATCACCTTTCCCACAGCCTTAGCAGCACCAGTAGAGCTTGGGATGATGTTGAAGCAAGCGCCACGACCACCACGCCAGTCCTTCTTGGAAGGACCGTCAACTGTCTTCTGCGTGGCAGTCACAGCGTGGACAGTCGTCATGAGGCCTTCCTTGATGCCAAACTTGTTGTTCACCACCTTAGCCAGAGGGGCCAGGCAGTTTGTCGTGCACGAAGCGTTCGACACCACGTGCATGTTCTTCTCGTACAGCTCGTGATTCACGCCCATCACGAACATGGGGGCGTCACTGGACGGAGCCGAGATCACCACCTTCTCCACGCCGTTCTTCAAGTGGGTCGATGCCTTCTCCAGTGTCGTGAAGGCACTCGTGGACTCCACCACGTATTGCACCTGCTCCTCGCCCCACTTAATATTCTCGGGGTTCATCTCGTTGAACACACGGATAGGCTTGCCGTCCACGTAGATATTTTTCTCGTCGTGATCGATCTTACCGTCGAAGCGGCCGTGCACGGTGTCGTACTTCAGCATGTATTCCATGTACTTGGTGGCGATGAAGGGATCATTTACGGCTACGACCTTGATACTAGGGTTCTTGGCAGCGGCGCGAAGCACGAGGCGGCCGATGCGACCGAAACCGTTGATGGCCACGTTTACCATTGCGCTCTAGATGGGAGGGGGTTGGCTGGTGTTTGCAGGTCTAAGAATGAGAGACCACTGGTGGATCCTTTCGAGGGATTGCTAGTTCAGGGGCCGTAGAGAACTTGAGATTTCTAAGGAGTACAAACGTCGAGATAAGAACCCAAGCACCAAGTCTGTCTATGCTCACGTGAAGTGTGTTTTTTTTTTTTACTGTGATGTGAAATGACGCAAAAGGCCAGAGTGGTCAAACAGACTGTTTTATAGACGGCAGGAAATGGCCTGAAACGCCCTCTGGGCTGAGAAAATCACTATTTTTTTTCTATGCATTTTTTGCATGAGAGTCATGTGCGCATGAGCTAGGAAATTTAACAATGAGGCATAATCGCCACGATCGTCCGGATAATTTTGCATCTGTCCGGTAAATTAAAATTGACGACAGCAAGTTATCAGAGCTACTACTGCTTATTGGTTAATTATCTGCCAGTAAAAACGTGCCACTTGTAATTGCGCTAGACTACACGTATCGAATGGTTTGCAGCCTCTCACTTTCAGTCAATCCGTCGCCGACAGCCCACGTTGGCGGTCAGTCTTACTTTTTTCATTGCAACTACGCTGATCTCCCGTACGGGCTTCACGGGCTTCCAAGCCTCCAGGTCGCCTCTGACCCCCCCTCCCCCTTCCAACGATGTAGCTCAACTGAGAGAGCGCAAGGTTTCGGCCTTGAGGATGCCTGCTTAAATCGGGCCATCGTTATTGCTTATGCTTGGGTTAGAGGCCTTGTAGCGAAGATCAAGTTTCGTGAACAGCAGAGATCAGCAAGAAAGGTGATTGCATACGTGTGTTGAGGTCGACATAGCTTGATGCTGTGAGGAAGGGAGAATGTATTCGCATATAAATGTTTGTTCTACTTACTAACCTCCTCAAGAACGTCCTGCGTGTAGCCAGGAGACGGGTCTTGGATTGCAGCTGTCTGGAGCAGTTGACGGTGGCGCTGGATCTTGGCATTTAGCGCACCGGCGCAGTGGACCCGCTGGAGGTGCTTGAGGACCGCGCTCGATCCGCGAGAGTTGATGCTGTGTTTGCCTTTCATGTACGTGAGTCCTGCTTTCTCGGCGCGCTTCCCCAGCTCCAGAACTCGGTCGCGGTAGTCCGCAGAGGTTTGGTTGAGAACGAAGCCGTCGTCGAGGAACAGCTTCATGTACGCGACTAGAAGCTTGCCCTTCGAGCGCTGCTGCTTCGGTGCTTTCGACGTACCAGCGTGGCTCTTGCGCGTACCAGGAAAAGCAAGTCGCATGAAGGTAGGTTGCTGATCCTCTACG